TATATATTATATATATATATATATATATATATATATATGTGTGTGTGTGTGTGTGTGTATATATATATATATATATATATATATATATATATATATATATATATATATATATATATATATATATATATATATATATATATATATATACATATATACATATATATACAGATATATATATATACAAACTCTTTTCAAGTTTGAAGTCCAAATTATAGATATATGGGAATATATGCAGTCCTGTGTTCATACATGGACAAGTACGCAGATTATAAAGCGAGTATTCTAAAATTAAAAGCCTGATGGTAGCTGTGAACACACAGTCGCCGGGCGAAGTGATTTAGACCGAGCTCTTATAAACCTATGCATGGTACATATATATGAACTAACATAAGTACGAGCACATTTCATCACTATTTGACTATTGCTCGTGAAGAAATAAGAATACTATATCTGCACCGCAAAACCTGGTAAAACAACACATTGATATCCGACTAAGTAGATACGGCTCGCTAACAACTGAACAAAAAATGATTTTCTTTCAGTCTTTTAAAGCCAATTAACTCTATTCAAACTTGTGAATTCTGTCAGAGTAGCCACCTGTAAAATATCGTACGCAATAATCCCTGAGTGCTTGTATTTGCGCCGGACAAAGAACATACACACATACATTTAGTATCATACTATTACAAAATTAATATAAAGTCTTACCTTCTTGTAAGGCAGTTTAATTCTACGCAAGCTTATTGATTCTACCAGAATAGTAACCTGCACCTTCCGTATGCAATACTATCAAGTGCTCCTATATGCACTACTCGACAGTCAGGATGTCTATGTATTACACATAAGTATATCAGCTTGTGTTGTGAGTTATGACCATACCTCTCTGCTGAATTATATTGATATACATATACATGCAGTTGTATTTATTTACTACAATAGTCTACAATACGACTGTAAATTCATTTTTTGTGTTTTAAAAATTTAAAATTTAAAAAAAAAATGTGACACCAAGAGCGTTTTCAGTGAAGGGGAAAGCCGACGGTGTCGGTGTCGGATTTCTCTGTAGGAATTTTTTAGAAATATTTATTTACTTTCGTTTTTTCTCACAGGCAGGCACAGCTTTTCTCAGCACACAGTAGTAGCGCTATGAAAAGTTTGACTTTTTTCACGCAACAAAAAATGAACAATAAACCCAAAGTTTTACAAATTCCTGAATATTGTCTACGATATTACGTATATCTGAAAATTCGGGTTGAAAACTGAAATTCGAATTCCAAATTACTACAAATTCCTGAATATTGTCTACGCTATTACGAATATATTTGAAACTTCGGGTTCAAGACTAAAATTAGAATACCAAATCTACCAATTGCTTAGTTACCAAGATTCCACTTCACCAGCTCACATATTTTACAAAACATCAAATAAACGTCCGATCAGCCATATTTTGTTCTTTCTTCTTCCTCTCTCTCGACTAGTAGAGAGGGCTGAGAGGGTCATGAATAAAATCGATCAACATAATAACCACTATACTCGGTCTATTTATATTTATAAATAGCGTTTACATATGCTTGTATTCATGTATGTGTTCCCTCTCTGCTCTAGTAGAGAGTAACTAGAGAGATGCGTGCAGACTGTTCAAATCCAATATAGAGAGTAACTAGAGAGATGCGTACAGACTGTTCAAATCCAATAACTAGTCGTTGCACTTGTCTATATTGGAGCTGATTGCTATTTGTGTCATGCAGTCTTTACTACGCCACTCCTTCTCCTTCGAGGCGCATACAAGGATTTACGACTAAAAACGTTCTTTGTACTGATCTCAATCATGGTTGGGTTAATAAATTTTGTACTGGTGTCAGCTCTAGCGCAACTGCTGCCCTCTACTGCAGATATAAACTTCTTATTATCATTTCCCGTTATCCCGATAAGGGCGATACAGTCTGCTAGACAATCATACACTAATCAGGAATACATTTATTTTTATATGGTATTCCTTTCAGTCCATGTAGAGCGAACTTTCCCACAAAAGAATGGTACAATAATGCAGCAGACTATATTCGTATAGTATAACATATAAATTTATATATATATATATATATGAATATGTATATGTATACGTATATGACTGTATGTGTGTGTTTGTGTATACATACGTATATTAATATATATACATATATATATTATTTATTTATTTATTTATATATTTATTTATATATATATATATTTATATATATATATATATGTGTATATGTATATATATATATATATATATATATATATATGTGTGTGTGTGTGTGTTTGTTTGTATAGTATTATAATAAAATATATATGTGTGTGTGTGTTGTGTAAATATAACTATATATATATATATATATGGATATACTTATGTGTGCGTTGTGTATATCTACGTGTCTGTGTATGTATGGTATACAGATAGATCGACAGTAAAGCTAATATATATATATACGTTTACCTATCTAGTTTCATATAGATATTTATAGATATGAATCGTCCTACATACATTTTTTGCATGTGTAAATGTAAATAGATAAACCTGTATGTGTACATAGTGGTTAAAATGTGTTCATAGATATGTGTATATGCGTGTTTGTGGGTGTGCATACAATCTCACGTGCACCCTTGTACGCATTTATATACCTATATGCGCTGATGATACTTATATAAACTGATCCTACATAATAATTACGAAAGCTTGGTACTGTTTGCAGGCGCATTCTTTTAGTGCAGAAGTGCTGTCCACATCAATAAATCCAAGCGTTGCCGTTCAGAGTTTATTTCTTGTATATTACTGCTTTGTATATTGCAGACAATGGGGTCACTACGTACTCCTAGAGCCCCTCCTGTGCCAAGCTTCCGATGTGTTCATCTTGACCAAGCCACCGGCACGTAGGTCCCCCTGATGACTTATCGCATCACTGGTTAATACAGGCATTGCTGTTACACTACGATAAACCCTCGTCTCGTCCCCTTACCCGATACTCGCCTGAAAAAAGTTCGGATGAGCACATGTATTCTATTTAAATCTATCTACGTTAGTGTGCTAGATGGGCCGGAGTGTTTTTGATTGCCGCTCTATACATTGAATGCGATAGAGTGTGTAAATTTAGCTATCAATATACTAGTATTTACAGTTATTTTTTTGTTTGTTCGTATTCTGACCTGATTCTGGTCGAGGCTGCTACTGAATGTCCCATTCAATGGCAAGCCGTTATTGGTGCATCAGGGGAGACACTTGTCCCGTTATCTTGTCCCGGTAACCCTGACTATTTCTGTTATTAGTATCCGCGGTTCAGGTGCCGTTCAATAATTACACCGTTCTGACACCCGACTGCCTATGGTAAGTGCGTTCAAGTGATGGTATACCCTTGCTGTACTATGTAGGTACGGATCAATACTCTCTGTGCGATGTACTAGCGCTGACTAACGTCGTACAGTTATCTTAGGGTTTAGGGTTAGGTAAACCCTGAAACCCTAACCCATATGTCTCAGCCTCAGCTGGCGGAACTTGCGATGCGACGATGGTCGCTCGCCTGTAATCCTAGTACTTACCAATTGAGTACTGGCACCAACTGGTCGCGACTCGAGCCACCTATTGTCCTCGCCCATCTACCTACCTACCCCGTCTCTGTGCCCACCGACTCAGCTGGCAGCATACAGGTTGGCCTGGTCATCAGCCCTAGTCCTTCCCATGGCAGAACAGGATACTCCGGTCTATCCGTGGTCCCTGAGCCCTAGTCTCGTGGTGTGACCTGTGGTTCGATTCAGACTCCCAACCACACCGCACGTGCGTGTTACTATTATTATCCCTACCTTCCACCCACTCGCTCGCACTGGGGGAGTGTAACTCTTTGTGTGCTGTGTGCTGTGTGTGTTTGGGTTCAGACCCAACTTTCACCCACCGACACCGACTCTCCAGATGGGTGCATATCCCCCGAGAAGGCACGCCCTTATTCGCACTCAATACCTGGTTGTGTGATGTGTGGCCGGCCGCTGTAGCTTGGAATATACTGATCTCGACGTTCGACGTTCCTTGCATGAGCTTATAACGAGCAAATGTTCCTGGTAACACAGTACTGTACTGATGTGTATATTCATCATCTATCAGGTGTGTTCAGATGTTTGGTACGTGTTTGCATTGTTCTTCCCCGTGCATACTTGCCGAGTGGGTGACCTAAGGTGAATGGGCTTATTCCTTATACCTACCCTCTAAATACATCGTGTAGGCATTTATATGAACGTGTGTGGGTAAATCACTAAATCTCCAAGTAGGTAACAATAAAGTGGGTGTGGCTACTTCATCCTCCCTTGCGCCTACCCCCTACGGAATCCCTGCGAAGGTTCGCGAAAAAGTAATGTATGTGTGTAACTCCCATCCATACTCCCACGCAGATACTAATAAAGTGCGTGTATACAAATGACGTACATGCATTCATGCATACACCTATTGCTTCTTCTCCTCTGAGCCCCACGAATTGCCTGACCAGCCAGAAAATGTGTCCAACAACCCGTTCATACCCTCCACTGCACCCTCCATCAGCTCGCCTCGAATGCCGGCCAGGCTATTCGTGGGCTTCTCAAACACTTGACCCTGCCGGGCCAAGGGAGACGACCCAGGCCCAGACCTACCGTGAGGCACCGGAAGGTCGTTGCTAGGTGTTGCTACGCTCTTGCCGTCGTCAAGGTGCATGTTCCCCTCCAATGCTTGGCCTGTATTCGGGCTGCCCGCCTCAGGTGTGGATCTCGGCGGAGGGCTGGGGCTGACCAGTCCGTCGGTAGTGATCTCGATGGGTTGGAACGGGTGCGCGCCGGTCCTATCTTTGTCGCCAGGTGCGGCCCTAGGACTCATGTGGGGGGACCCCGTAGCCCCGCCCGATGCCGTACCCTCCACATACTGCGGTGGTTGGGTGGCCTTAGCACTTGCGTCCATGTGTGTTGTGTCTGTACCCGCGATTGGGCTGTAGGCATCGTTCATGTGGGTGTCTTCGTCCATGCCTATCCCCAGCCCAGCATCTAGGCCCCCGCCAGACAGACCAGCCGGGTCGGTCATAGTAGCCGTGCGGGGCGTATTACCTATATTACCTACATCACTACCCAGCGAGCCCCTCAGGCTGTCTGGGAGGGGTCCAGTACTGAGATCAAGCTCGGCTACGTTACCCATAGGCCCGTATAAATCGGACGATAGGAACGGATCCATCATTATATTCAGGTCCAAGTCCTCGTGCTCTGCCCCCATATCCCCGAACATCGGGGAAAAGGTTTCCCCTGGCGAGGCACCCACCAGGTTCTGACTGCTCAAGGACGACCGCATATTATCGCAACCGTTGGGGTACTCGGCCCCGGGGATCAACCCATCGAGATTGCCGAGATTGTTCATGTCAAAGTCTGCTAGGTTCAGGCTGGTCAGTGAGGGGGCGTCTATAACACCACTCGACCCGTCGTTGAGCGGCGCAGGCAGACCGATGGGTGCCTCCAGGGACACCTGCGGACTGCTTATAGCACTCCGGTGTAAGATAGGCGAGTTGAGCATACTCCCGCTCAGACTACCGCCGTCCATTATAGTCCCCATGGGAGAGCGCATAGCCAGGTTGGTGATGTGGTTGGCCCCCATAACACCTGTACCCGGGGCCGTCTTGCCCCCCCCCGGCCTCATGGAAAACGTAAACTTGGCCAGCGCTTCCTCGAGCACATCCACCACCTCCGTCACATACTCGCCAATGCTCGGCAGCACACCCACATTCGAACTACATTTCGCCTCGGTCACGATCCCGGGTGTGACCTCGCCACTCCCACTCATACTGCCGCTACTGCCTGCTACTAACCCGCCACCGGCAGATGTCCCACTCCCCCGACTGTCCTGGCGTTCCTGTAGTGCCTTGAGGTTAGTTAGGGCCGTAAGGGTGTCCTTCAGAGCCAAGGCCTGCTCGTCGGTGATCTGCCCGTGGCTCATGATGTTCTGTACCCGCGCAACGGTCTCGTTGACCTTGTCGGCACTGCCGCTGCCCGTACCGCCGCTGACGTTTCGGCTGAGTGTGCCACTGGTACTCCGCTTGCTGTTTGGGCCACTACTGCTACCAGGTAGGCCACCATCACCCAGAGGTGTACTGGCGAGGTCCGCCACCCCTCCTGCTCCGTTACCATGGCTACCGACCGACGATCTACCCTCGGAAGCCGGGTGGGTGGCGAAATCCATCACGCCCGAGGCACCCAGACTCAAATTGCCTTCACTGCCGTGGTGTGTGTTGTGGCTCATGTGTGAGTTGAAGTCACTCAGCTGCAAGGACGAGGGGATATCGGCCTCGCTCTGTGCCCCCAGGGCAAACGCACTCTCATTCATATCCATCTCCCCGTCGGCCAGCCGCTGGTTGGCCAATCCCAGCTGCCAGGTGATCAGCTGGGCCTGTGACAGCGCAGACCCCTGGGCGGAGGTGGGTGTTTGGCCCTGTTTCACACTCATGGACTTACTTCTGGGCCTGTCAAACTTGGGCGATCCCGTCAACAGGTGCCGGGCCCTCTGAGCCGGGTGTCTACCGGCCAAGGCGCCGTTCTGGACGATCGCTTCCATGCTCGGAAGAGACCCCGAACGAGACCCCATATCCGTCTTGTCGTATAAGTTGGCGCCTGGTTGCGAATACTTCTGTGAATTGTGATGGGCCTGGCGGAAGGGTCGGTCGTCGCTGTACGGCCCTATGCCGGCCGAGCTACTGAGTGAGCGAGTACGCACTACCCCGTTTCGAACGGTGGGTTTCCTGAGAGTAGGGGGGGGTGGGAAGTCTGGATTGAGCTAGCGGGTAGAAAGGTGTATTCTGGGGGTGTGCGTATGATATGAGAAGATATACTCTGATGTATATGACATGAGAAGATACAACCTGGTGACAGATAGAAATGTGTATTCTGTTTATATGAAAGTAATATGAGAAGATATAAACTGGTGACAGGTAAAAACATGTATTCTGATACTATGTATATAACATGAGAAGACATCAACTGGTGCAGATAAAAACATGTATTCTGATACTATGTATATAACATGAAAAGGCATCAACTGGTGCAGAAAAAAACATGTATTCTGATACTATGTATATAACATGAAAAGACATCAACTGGTGCAGATAAAAACATGTATTCTGATACTATGTATAGAACATGAAAAGACATCAACTGGTGCAGATAAAAACATGTATTCTGATACTATGTATATAACATGAACAGACATCAACTGGTGATAGGAAAAATCGTGTATTCCGGGTACATATATAACATAAGATAAAAACTATTATGGATATGGATATTTGAATCTGTGCGAGTACTGCTAGGGATTTCTTGGCCGGTTAGGGACGAAAAGAGGTATTCACTGACAATATATAATACTCAGATATGTGATATGCAGTGAAGGCTATAGAGGATACCAGACAAACACTGATATTACTAATATACTCATATACATACTGAAGGTTCGTACAGTGCTATGCTACTCAGGCATAGAGGGAAAAAAATGCTCATGGCGCCCCACCGCCCAATATATATATAAATATACATATACATACATACACATATACATATACACATATATATATATATATATATAATATATATATATATATATAACATACATACAATAAATA